ACACACACACACACACACACACGCACACACACACACATAGACACGCACACACACACACTTTATTTTTTTTCTATCGATCTTTCTCGGTACGTCAACGCGTTGGTTCTCTGTATGCCTAAGAGAAGCTGTCCGTTCGGATATATACATTCATGTAAGTCTTTAGTTAGAATATCAGTGCGAACAAATATGCTTATCTACACTTCTTATTACAAAATGTTTAAAGTACAACTTATTATCTACTTACCATAAGCATTATTTTGTAACGTCAAGTACAACAATCAAAAGAAGAACATTAATAACTACCACCAACACGGTTGCTGAAGTACAACACTCTCCCCACAGACGGTTTCTGCATTTTGCTTATGGTCACACCAGAGGCCATTCACTCACTTCTTATGCCCAGTGCACACCGACAATCGAATTTAGTCGAACCGAGTCGGAGCTAGCTATTTTATTCTCCATGGAGGAGCCAAAGATACCACTTTGATGCAATACCAAATATGATTCGACTCGCAATCTAGAAAAACAAACGTGTTTGATTATGAAGGTCTCAGTCGAATTTAGTCAAACTCGGTCGACTTGTGTGACAAAATTGTAACTTTTGCCCCTCAATTAAGAAAAGTCTTGCTGACCCCGACTCAATAATATGAGTTCGGTTGGCAGTGTGCCTTAAAAGCTGTCGCCACAATATAAGCTACGTCAAGTGACATATTAATCAAGATTATTGCTGCATTCCACCAGCTGTTCCTATGTCTTTCAGACACCGACGTTGCTCAAATATACACTCACGTACACACACACACACACACACACACACACACACACACACACACACACACACACACACACACACTCACAAACGTATGTTTTATCATTATATAGAAGCACTTTCTGGGCGCATAGTTTCTTGTCTGCAGCAGAGTATTCGTGTTGCTTTTAATGAATGTCTCAGATCCACCTTCTACCTAGAGCTATGGCAGTTGGCAATGTATAGCCTTCCGTGTCAGGCAAATGCTTCGCTCTGCATTGTCTAGGTTTTTAAAAAACAACCAAAAAAACAAAACAAAAACAAAAAACAAAAAAACTCAGGTCTCGCCATTTGTCATAACTGTGATCCAAGCACTACGGCTAGTCTTCACATCCGTCTTTCCTTTTACGACCCTTCTGTTCATACGGCGTCGGTTTAAAGAAAACCAAAATCTCTGAAGGTGTCTAGCAACTAAATGATTTTAGTCTACTTTTCTTCTGACATTTCTACACATTTCTACTATGTTTATCGGAGGCGCGGAACATACTTTCCGTTCACCTCTTGGAAACTCGTAATTTGCTGCACTCAATATGATGACTCTTACGATTCTCTTTCTGAAGGCCATGACCTCTATATACAGTGGTTTGGGATAGGCGGGGTGAGCGGAAGGGTGTTCTCCGGACGACGAAAAGGGTAAACCGAATGCATGCATGCCAGTCTGGAAAGCAGTCCAATAAAACTAGGTTAAGTCTGTCAAAATTGACAAAATTGAGCGAGTGCTTGTCATAAGTCATAAACGAAACGGGTGTACTAAAATAGAGTGACCCAAAAGTAAGGTTTCTATTACCTTGACCACCGATTATTCCCCACGGAAGTAATCATAAATTTCTCTTTTAACTCTCAGTAACGGTCATGCTTGACTTAAGTTTCATATTTCCGTCTCCCCCTTCTCCCTCTCCCTTTCTCCCCCCCCCCTCTCTCTCTGTCTTTCTTTCTCGCCCTCTCTCACATAGCCATCCTTCTCTCTCTCTCTCTTTCTCTCTCTCTCTCTCTCTCTCTCTCTCTCTCTT